ACCAGGTACGTGTCCTCTTCCCCACACTCTCCCTTGTTACCCACACAGCGCCCTTCACCTCCGAAGAACCACCTTCGCCCTTTACCCCTCTGCGCGCTCTGCAGCCCGGCTATGGCCGCCAAGCGCTCTGTATGCAGGCAGCGCCCTACCGCCTAGCGCTGGCCTGCTTGCTCTTACCACAGCACTGCCTTGCACAGCGCAGCACACATGCATCCGCGCAGCGTGCCCGCAAGTGCCAGCATTGGCCAAGATCCCCGCTGCCTCGCCCTGCTTGCCTATATGCCAATGCAGCGAGTGTGCGGCCTCCCTTCAGCCTGTGACCGGGGCCCAGAGGCTGAACTCAGCCCGATACGGTTGGGCCCCGGGAGATGCAGTTGTGCCTCTCTCATCAAGGCCTGCGGCCAGATTCAGACAGTGGGCCGGTTTCCCTTTGCATTTTCGGCCTCTTTACCCAGCGTGCATTGTCGGCCTTACGTTCAGGAGCCCAGGGCCTAACTAACTCAGAGGCCCTGGGCATTTTTAACATTTGCTGAGATCTGAAACTCGGTGCACTCCAACCAACTGGCGTGCTGCAACTGTATGGACCCCACTCCGTGAAATGTATGCACAGAGGGCTATTGTTGATTTGCTGGCCCGCCTTCACTTAGGGCGGGCACGAGGCTTGCTGGGCCCTTAGCCCAGAACATGTACATCATGGCAAGGCCCCTTCTTGAGGGCTCATTCCTCACAATGGGAACTCTTTTTTTTCCCGAAAAAGAACTGCACGTGCGCACTTGCGCGCGCGCGGGGGGGAGAGAGAGAGATACCATGGTGGGCTCTTGAGAGAACAAGTCGATGGCAAGCGCTAAATACAAGAAAAGCGAGTGCAGTGGGCGTGCCCACGCACGCAGTCGAGTGCGCGCGCGCGCGCGCGCGCGCGAGAGAGAGAGAGAGAGAGAGAGAGAGAGAGAGAGAGCTCAATCTAACGAACTACGATCCCCCCCCCAAAAAAAAAATCCCAAACACTCTCAAGTGTAGTATCTGTTCCGATCAGTTTAATATCTGATCCGTGGTCCATCAAAAAAGAAAAAAAAAAAAAAAAAAAGCACAAAACAGAAAAAATGCACGCTTGCACATGCGAGCGAGGGAGAGAGAAAGAGCCCAATCTAACTAACTACCCCCCCCCACAAAAAAAAACACGATCAGGTGTAGTATCTGTTCCAATCACTTTCATATCTGATCCGTGGACCATCGGAACCCCTTTGGGGTCTCTCTCTCTCTC